GAACAGTATACATCTTGTCTTCACCAAGGTGCACCTCCTTACATGGGATTAGATGTCGGTGTTAATCATCTCTGCAGGAGGAATATTAAAAGCTACCTGACTTTGGAAAGGAAAAATGCAAAACTGCTCTAAAAATAGCACCAAATAACTGACAGAGGAGGCCAAAATAAGAAGGAGACAACTGCCAAACACTGAGGTGATTATTGCTTAGCCACAAACTCTCAACACGCACAGCACTGTACCTATATGATGAGAGATGGCAGCGGCTCAGAGGTGCCCCGAGGTCATTGTTGCAGAAGTTAAAAACTTGTATGTTTCATCTCGTCCCCCAGAGTAGAACGATGGAAATACTCCAGCTGGTGGCTTTTTGCTAGTTTCATCACATCTCCCCTCTGCTGTCAATGACTGTGAAAAATACCATAGGCACATTTATATAACTTGGGTTTGTGGGTTTAAAGGGACAGTTCACCCCAAATCCAAAATGTTTCCTCATCCATGTAGTGCTATTTATCAGTCCACATTGTTTTGGTGTAAGTTGCAGAGTGTTGGCGATATCAGCCGGAGAGATGTCTGCCTTCTCTCTAATTATAATGGAACTAGATGGCACTCAGCTTGTGGTGCTCAAAGTGCCAAAAATCTACATTTGAAAAACTCAACATCAATGTCTCTTTGCAGAAATCATGACCCGGTGACCCAAGATAATCCACAGACCTTGTTGTGAGCAGTTTCATGTAGGAACTATTTTCTTTCTACTGAACTAAACCCACCAAATGTATCACCGCACAGAAGGAAGTGTGCATCTACCATAGATGTAAAGTTAAAGATTAAAGTTCCACTGATTGTCACACACCTGTGTGTGAAATTTGTTCTCCGCATTTGACCCATCCCCCGAGGGAGCGGTCAGCAGCAACGGTGCCGCGCTCGTGAATCATGTGGTGATCTAACCCCCCAATTCCAACCCCTGATGCTGAGTGCCAAGCAGAGAGGCAGTGGGTCCCATTTTCATAGTCTTTGGTATGACCCGGCTGGGATCGCACCCACGACCTCCCAGACTCAGGGTGGACACTCTACCACTAGGTCACTGAGCTGGTATGATAATAACTAAACAGCAGGGTGGCGTCTGTTCAGTCCAGTGGAACTGCTCACCTGCTGCAAGTCTACTGAATACGCCAACACGTTCCCACTCCAACCTTGTCACCTATCAACGTTGGGTCATGTACTTTCTACGTCCACATATGGCATGCAAGGTACCCTGGGTGCAATGGTTGATGACATTCTGGGACACTGTGTCAACTTTACAGGACATGGGACACAAACACTGGCCTCCTGGGTGAAAGTTGGTGGTTGTTGGACTCATCCACCACCTTAGCTTTCTTTGTCGTCACGCCGTGTTTCTCCTGATACCGTCGGGCGCCATTAAACAATAATGATGACTGGCTGTGTGTCATACCGACATAAAAGGATGACTTTTTTTGTTTGTGTGTGATGCTGAAAGTCACTGACAAAGTGCCAGATTTCAAGGACTTCGAAGTGAGACCAGGCTGAATGTGCAGAGTGTTGTTTCTCCTGCTGGCCTGTCCTGTTCCTGCTTGACTTACATTGCGATGATCTCAGAGATTTTTAAATCACTTTCCTCGACTTGAGGGAAGTTTTCTAAATATAAAACCAAACATTCATAGTAGAAAGACTGACAGCACAACAACATGATGCTTCAGGAGATACACCCCACCAACGTTAGCTAGCTCAGTGGTGCTAGGTGAGCTAGCCATAGATTAATGCCTCCTTCTGTGCAGAGATTCGGTTGGCGGGTGTAATTTGGTAGAAAGAAAATAGTTCCTACATGAAACTGCTCACAACAAGGTCTGTGGATTATCTTGGGTCACCGGGTCATGATTTCTGCAAAGAGACATTGATGCTGAGTTTTTCAAATGTATATTTTTGGCACTTTGAGCACCACAAGCTGAGTGCCATCTAGTTCCATTATAATTAGAGAGAAGGCAGACATCTCTACGGCTGATAACTCCAACAAATGGTGACTCACACCCAAACAATGTAGACTGATAAATAGCACTACAGGTAAGAGGGAAACTATGTATTTTTGATTTTGCAGTGAACTGTCCCTTTAAGCAGGAGAGGTGGATGACCTAACACACGTCAGGGGAGTACAGCAGTTCCTCCTGGCTGAGCAGAGCCTTACATGTTGTATGGGGTCATTGTATCAGAGTGAGATCATCGTCGTCCAGTGCAGGAGGTATCTACATGCAGGGTGTTGGCTCCAGATGTCCCCCAGGTGCTGTAGATATCACACAGCTTAAAGCAGGGAGGACTCGCTGCTCCCCTTCGGCACAATCGGATTAATGTGAAACCTATTTCATGGAAGTTACAAGTAGATTTACTTGATGGTAGTTTGCGTCCGCAGTGTTGGCTCACATGATCAGGTGCCATGTTTGGTACATGGTGTGTAGGAGATTATTATTTGGAGGCAGATGATGTTGGGAAAGACAGCCTGCGGCGAGGCTTTGCTTGGTTGTATACCGGCCTTCATGTTGAAGTTGAGTGCAGGCTCTTCTGCTGTGTGCACTGATGGCTGTTTCTAGCTTTGAAGTACTTCAGTTTTACTTTAATGGTCATATGTAGGCTAACACAGGGTCAATGGTACAGTGAAATGTAACGGGGTATTCGTGACTGTCTTCTCTTGAATCGAGCCTGCTGGTGGTACTCCACAGCACCGTCAGCAGCAGCAGAGTAGGAGGCTCCCCTCCTTGGCCCAGACTCACTCTTCAGGTTGCATTAGCACTGAGGAGGAGAGTCAGTCATCATGCTTTTGCTCTCTGCTGCAGTAAATCTGCAGTTTTTTTAGTGTTAGTAAGACAGGCCTGTGTGATTAAACCTATCTGTGTAGTGAGCAGAAGAGATAAGCAGTGCAGCTCTACAGTACCTCATAGCCTAGGAATGATAGTAATAATCCAGGACGCTATAACCTGTGATAAATGCCTCCAAGGATTAGCTAATGAATTTAACTCTGTGGGCTGCTGGGCTCACTCATTCATACAAGGAACACACTACCATCTCACTACTTTTTACTCCAGCACATCTGTTAGACAGTTATAGCATGAGGTACTCTGACATAGATTTTTTTATTTATTTAACAGGGACAGTGCACAGCTACGTAGCTGCACCAGAGTAGCTATAAGCTAATTTTCATCTGTAGTCCCTGGACAGGAAACAGAGAATAATTTCTCTACTAAAAGACACTAATATATAGATAAAAAACATAAATGCAAAATAGAACATATTCATGACACAACGGCTTCAGCAATAACAACAGCAAGACAACACAATATCAAGTCATCACAACAATAACGGCAACAACAATACAACACTAAGTCATCACACCATGAAACCATGGTCAATGAAAAATAAATAATAATAAATAAAATAAGAATAGAAATGAATTACACACACACACACACACACACACATATATATATATATATATATATATATATATATATATATATAAACAAAAAAACCCACTTTATTATTGTATTTTTTTCTTTGCATTTTAGCTAAAAATTAAAAATAAAAAAATTAAATAAAAACATCATTATTATTATTATTATTATTATCATTATTATTATTTATGTTTGTGTGAGTTCCTATGTCAGGAAATGCTCTGTTCTTTTAAAAATTGTACATATACAATATAATTTTTATAATAATATAATACAGATTTTTGCATATTTCTTTCTTTTTTTTTAATTTAAATAACACTAATGCACATTAATTGTGAGCTGAGTCCACTTGTCACATTTCAGGTGAGAGAGTTCCCATCTAAACCCCTCAGATGGTTTTCTGTAATTCAAACCTCTATCGGGACTGACCTGATTAAATAAAGGTTTATACATTTGAGGCTTAAAGAGGAAAATAACCTAATATTTAACGAAAAAGATTAAGGGGAAAGTCAAAGATATGGACAAGCTAATTCAATTTATGTTACAGAACTTGCGTGTTTCTTTGACCCCTACCCCACCAATGACCCAGATTTATCCTGTGACCCTTTTTGAAGGGGCCTGAACCATAGACTGAACAACCTAACTGTATATAATGTAGTTATTATATAATGTAGTACCAGTAAATGAATAAATAAAAGCTGAAATTAAAAAATAAAGAAATAAAATAGAGAAATCAGTCCAGAGGTGAGGACATCCTACCTCATTTACATACAGACAGAAATACAGAAATAAATGAATGTAGTTGTACAAATAAATAAATTTAAGATATTTATTTACATCCTGTTTATTGATCAGATTTGACTATTCTTATGCATCTTTAAGCAGCAGTTATTTTTAATTTTATTCAAACATTGTTTATTCATATATTCCTTTATTTATTTATGCATTTATTTCTGTCCATGTTTATTCACACATTCATTTATTTATCTATTTATTTTCATTTTTACTTTAACATTATTTATTCATATATATTATTATTTATTTATGCATTATTTCTGTTCATATTTACTTATTTATTATTCCTGTATTTTATTTATTTATTTTATAATAAAGTCATTTTTTGTCCTCTATATACCTTAACTAGCTACAACAGTATGATGAAATCAAATCAATCAAATCAAATTAAGAATCAATTAATAATATAAAAACTGGAGTTATAGGGGAGTTTTTTCCTGCAGAATGAATATTGCTGATAATATTTAGCCCATGTATTTATACTTAAGTGGGATCCTGAATTAAAGACTTAAACTTTTACACTGTGGTATTGATACCTTTAGTTAAGTAAATCCTCTGGGTACTTTTCGAACCACTGATAAAAAGTAGAAAAAAACCTTTGTGTGTCAGATGTGTGTAAGACGCTGACTCCATGAGCCCACTCAGTGCACACTGCTCTCTTATCTCCTGCATGGGCACAAAGTGGGAGGGAGCACTGACACAATCACAAGCCTCTTCAGGAGAAGTTGGAGCGATGGGAGGGAACGCTCAGTGCTGCAGCAGGACGGCAGAGCGGCTCGTGTTGTGCCGGCCATGACGAGATGCTGCTGGTGACAGCGGCGGTGTCGGAGTGAGAATGAACGCCTTCAGTAAGTGCTGGGATGGATGAGGAAGGTTTACCGTCAGCGCACGGTGCAGTAACACTGAGCTGTTGTGCCTCTGGCTCCGAGATGGTGTCACCTCTGTGCGCTTTTCCCTCTGCTATCCGGACAGGGGACACTGGCGGAGAAGTGACACGCCGGCGTCGGAATTTACACAGTTATCAGTGTGAGAAGAGACGAGCGGAGTAGAGGCGCTGTCATGGAGAGACCGAGCAGAGTCAAGGAGGAAATGCAGACATCGAAGGAGGAGAAGCGCAAAGAGAAGAAGCCGAAATCTGGGAAGCTGTTCAGGAGGAAATCGTTAAAGTCCGTGGGGAGCTTTATGAACAGAATCATCAAAACTTTGGGCACTTTGACCCACTTTGGAGACGCTGACGCGCAGGACGCGGAGGACGACGACGGGGGGTTTCGGAATGGCGCACCTTGCACCCTGAGCGCCGGCGCGGGGATGATCAAGGAGGACGTACAGGTGACCTGGGACCGTGTGGTGAAAAACACCTCGAGCACGTCTTCTTCCCTGTGCGCCGGCAGAGAGAAACTACTTTACCAATACGCAGACAAAATCCCGGGTGTCCTGGGGCTGAAGAACCACGGCAACACCTGTTTCATGAACGCTGTGGTTCAGTGTCTGAGCAACACCGACCTGCTGGCAGAGTACCTGGGTCTGGAGCGGTACAAGCTGGACCTGAATCACACCAGGATAAACGGGGTGGTGAAAAGTGATGAGACGCGGTTCGTCAGGGGAGAAGTCACGGAGCAGTTGGCATCACTTGTCAGGGCTCTGTGGACTCTGGAGTACACGCCACAGCTGTCTGTGGACTTTAAGGTACACAAAGTGTAACACATACCGCAACACACACAGTCTACAGGTGGATATGAGCTCAGAGCTTAAAGGGTAACTTTGGTGTGTTTTTCAACCTGGAGCATGTTTTTGTGTTTTAGTGATTAATGAGAACAACAGTTTTTGAAATTGGTCCAGTAACTGGAACCATGAGTGTAATGGTGCTTTCACACCTGCCCTGTTTGGTTCGGTTCAATCAAACTCAAGTTCATTTGCCCCCTTAGTGCTCTTCATTTGGGCAGGTGTGAACACACCAAAACAACCAGACTGAGACCTTCTTGAAGAGGTGGTCTCAGTCTGGTTACAAACGAACTCTGGTGCAGTTGGTTTGTGGTGAGAAGGTGTTCCGACCTGGATGTGAAGCAACTGCAGTCACATGACACATTGTTTGGGTTAAACATGAGCATGTTACAGTCCTGGAGGATTATTAATGTGCACCTCCTCCTGTACTGCCTTAATATGCACATTCAGCACATCCAATGCATCAAAACATTGTTTTCTAGTTGGAGCCGCGCCTCGTTTTCAAACTGTATGGTTTGACTAAAATGAACAATGACAGCAATATAGTCCACGATGAGCAGCGCTAAAATCAACCTGCGTAGTTGATCTTACTCCTCAAAACAATGTTCTATCTCTGTAGGGATCATTTCCTTAATGTTGTCAGACACTTAGAATAAGAGTCTGAGCCTGTCAGTGGCAAAAACAAACACTTAAGATCCTTTTTGTTTAACCAGAAACAGCCAAAAAATTGTCATCCCCAAACCCACCAGACTTCATTTAAATAAACAGTAATTTTAGCTTGTATAGAGTCAACATATTTTGACACCTAACTGAGTGAATTATGGGCTTATATCAACCAAACCAGATTTGGTGATTGTTGGAAAAGTGAAGAGATGGACCAAGACAGCTCTTGTGAGTTATATTTTGTTTCTGTCAACTCTGAATGAAGTGTGTTTTATGATGATAAAATTAGTATCAATTTAAATGGAGTCTGGTGGGTTAGGCGATGGTGATTTCCAGCTGTTTCTGGTTAAATCTTCCGTTAAATTTTCTCATTATGTGACTTTGAACAGTACAGTATTTTGGGTTGACTCACTTTATACATGCAAATACGCACATGAAATTGCTGAATCAATGAATGAACTTCTGCTGGTACATCCTCGGCGTACCGAGGATCTCAGTGCTGATTGTCCTTAGCAGCGCAAATTGGTCGCCAAAGTACAGAACTCTCACGAATAAGCATATCACATGACATCATGCTACTTGCTTCATTCGTGTATTTTGCGACATTTCCTTTGTGTCCATCACCCGGCGGCAATTCGCGTCTAATCGCGTCTTCACATTGACTTTACATGTAATTGACTCACGCAAATTGTTTTATCCGTGCCCTTTGTGAACACATTACTCTTTGACAGAAAGTTCTATCTCTGTAGGGATCCTTTCTATAATGTTGTCAGACACTTAAAATGACCTGAGCCTGTCAGTGGCAAAAACACATTTAGTGGACGTAAATTGACGGTGCATACTTAGCTGCAATCCCTTTACCTCTGAAGTCGGAGGTCGAAGCAGGGATTGACATCACACCTGAGTTGACCACGTTCCAGTACAACAAGTCAGAAAACCAAAATGCTGTTAGCACTACCAGTGCTAGCCAGGTTAGCCGTTGTTGTTTACAAACAGACAAACACTGTAGCAACATGTCAACAGATAGAAGCTGGACAGGACTCTGTACGACTGATCTAATGAGACTCACATAATACCCGGTTCACTACACGATATCAGCCTGATTCTAGCCCGACACAGCATCGTATGATGTCAGCTCGGATCGTGAATGACCATGAGTGTCGTGCACGATAATCCATTGTTTCATCTCATATAGTGTGTCATAGTAGACTAAAACTGACGCCACGTCTGGGGCACCTCATGACATCCTGACAGAAAGTCTAGCATGTTTGATTTGAGGTTGCTCCGACTCTCTGACTTCCCAATGCAAATGAATGCACCAGTTGCCCAAAGTTATTACACTGCAGCCTGTTTTGCTGCTGCTGGCTGCAGGTCTCTCTCAGTACTGGACCAGTTTCATAAATTGTTCCTGTTAGTCACTCAGACACAAAACAAGGTTGACAAAAACTGAAGTTACCCTTTCATGACAGAGTAATGAAAAGCACTGGTGATATTAAAAAGGCCGGGGCAGTCTTAGAGTTTCAGTGGTTATCATTAACTAAACACATACTCTCACATTACGTCCCCAAAGTGCAGTTAGCTCAGAGTTTAGTCAAACATAATCACATGTTGTGAGCACAGTGAGCCGTAAACACCGCTATGACAGAGTGGACTGAAAGTAATGTTCAGACAAAAGAGGGGGTGTCATGAGGTTTACATCATTTGCTATAATTGCCAACAGTATAGCAACTTTTCTCTCGGCACAGGCTGTAACCAGCGTGCAGCGCTCTGCTCTGTGACCTCAGTGTTTTCCTGCGAGGTGATAACAAGGCTGCTGTCACTGCGGTCTGAGGGCGCCGGGTCAGCGGGTGACCCTTTATTATTATGACACTACCACTGCTAGCATTGTGTTATGACTTTAAGTTCATCATCACTTCCTGTGCAGCACTAACTGCTGTTTTATTTCCTCTTACAGCATGGCAAGTGAAGTACAGGTGACTGTTTGAGTGTACATTTCAGTGTTTATTTAAAAGTTGTGATGCAAAGTGCGCTGGCTCAGGAAGCAGATTAACTTACTGTACCACTTTCCCCTCCCTGAGGATCAGGGGCTGCGACAGAGCCCTATCAGGAGACCCTCAGGCTTTCCTTCTCTGCCCACGCTGTAGATAGAGAGGCAAAAAGCAGCCGTACTTTATCTGCCTGCAGCTCTTTGCTCTGGATTTCTTTGAGCCATAGTTCAAGGCATGAAGAAGATAATATGGAGCGGCGAACAAAAAAACCTCCACAATGGATCTATTCTTGGAAATGCTAATTATGCTGTAAGAAAAGGGTACAAGTGTGGCTACTGGAATATCCTGACCCCGACTGTAGAGGCACTTTCATGTCTCTCCCTCACACTTGAATATGCGTAATGAGGAAGCCAACCTGAGATCTGCTGCGTATTAAACTCAGCATTGACGGTCCAAATCAATTTTAACATTGATTAATTTTTTTTTCTCCTCCATCTGTTGTGGTTTTTGAAAGACTCCACTACCCCTGTCAACCAAAATCCTCACTGCCAACGCTTCCCCAATTCCACACTTTCATTCTTGTCTTATCTCGTGAGACTCAGATATCAGATATTTTTCAGGACAGTGATCAGAGGGAACAGCATGGAAACATCTTGCCAAGATTAAAAAGACAGGTTCAAAGAAAAACACTAAACACTCCCCCTTGTGTGTGATTAGATGTTTCCTGTGTTAAAGCACACACACACACACACACACACACACTCTCTGCTGTGCCTCTTGGCTGCAGTTTATGACCGTAGGAGGTCCAGAGTTCATGCAGCTCAGTCCTTCTGAAATTGCCTGTTGAGTAATACCACAGCTGCCTGGAGGGAGGCATTATAAAATAATCAGATAGCTCCGAGGCTTGTGTCTGAGAGGCAAAATTAGCTCCCAGTTGCGGGAACTCCAGACAGCGCACAGCACTTATAAACAATCCTCCAGAAAGGATCAGTCTTCATTTAAATGCTCAATTAATCTATTGTTGCTGTAAGTTGATTAGCAGTCTTCACAGGCCTCCGAACGTCAGGTGTTTTGTCAGAAGGGCACTGGAAAGGTTCAGCTAAAGCCGCCAGATTAAAAGGACTACCTATAGCAGCCCTCCTCACATCACATGAATTTTGATAAGAAGTGATAAAAGGACAAGTGTTGAAAGAGATCTCTTTTTTGACAATTGCCCTTTCAACAGGACGTACACTTTGCAGCGCACCTTTTTATATAAATGAATAATGCTGTTCATGTACATCTCCTCTGCAAATGTGGAATCATCTGCTTTGATCAAAAGTTCTTCAAAGTTAATGAATCAGCAGTGGCCTCCTCGCAGGTCAGCTGGCTGCAGAGTCCCAGTCAGGAGAAAAAACACAACAACAAAGTCCCGCTGAACCTGGCGCTCTGCCACATTCCAGTACCACCTGTCCTGTAGGACCAGAGAGCTGGAAGCAGGGAGGCTGCTTTTTATAATCGTACCTCTGTGCTGCTTGGTGCTCACGCTGCCAGGGTGTCCCGAGCTTCCACTCTCACAGATGTGTCTCTGACGTTGCAGTCGAAAGGTTGAGTTTCTTCAACCTGGGAGCAGATGTGTGCTTTTGATCTGGACAGTTCCTGTGCATTTCTCTGCATCCCCCCTGGCAGGATGGTGTGTTTGCACAGAGAGGCCTGGACAGGGACAAAGCCTGAAACTCAAACAGTTACTCAACAGCCCATTTATCGGTTTCCACAACACGAGAGGCCTGAGAAAGAAGGGAGTAGCTGGGCAGGAATGTCATCCTCCCTACACTGGATTGGATATTGATGTTTAGGAAGCTAAATGTGTGATGTGATGACGGTGGGCCTTGCTCACAGGTATGTGTCAATATTTGCTGTCTCCATGTTTAGTTTTAATGATTATCTATGGTGCTGGCTGCAGTAAAACAAAATGAGATAGCAGAGCAGTGATTCCTGATCAGGGCTGCATGTACTCAGTGTGGGTCTACTGCTGCCAGGGTGTATGCTGAATACGACTGGGTGTTGTTATCGACCTTTAAAGGCTTAGACACACCAAACTGACTTCAAAGAACTAGCGGCAACCAAATTGTTGCGTCGCCTAAAATCACTAGTGTCTTGACTAAAAAGTTGCTCATGAACACACCCCAAAGACTGTAGCTGACGACCAACCAGTACATACGTTCTGCCCCTGCAGATTGTCTGTATTCGTCATTCAGAAAAGGAAACTGGAGGACCATCTTGATGCTGGTTAGCCAGTTAGCACAGTGCTGAAAGAACAGAGTATATTTACCA